TAGAGCTGAGACTTGAACCCAGATGCCAGATTCAGTTTCTGTGCTCTTAACACTACCTAAGCTGCCAGGTGAGTTCCCTGAAGAAACATCATAAAGATGGGGGGAAAAAATGGGTCGTTGGAGTTGTGATCCTGTCTGTGAATCTTAAATGATACAGTGAGCAACATGATCCTTATTCATGTTGCTTTCATCAAAGGAATTTAGGATATCTCATCCATTTCAAAAATTTGTGAATAAAAGATGCTGCACACATTTATTTCTGAGAACGGATACAATATACTATCATCAAACTAGTTTTTGCTGAATAATCTGTTCCTGAACAGAATGAATCAATAACCTGGACTTATTTCCAATTTATGAGATGAATATTTAAACACCACTATGTGTTTCTGCTCATATCATTTTCAAGGATATTGGTTTCATCTAACTTAAATATTCTTTCCAGAAATGTGGGGATTGTAGATCTATCTTCACCAGCTTGTGCTATAAACAGTGCCTCTTCAGAGTAGTGCCCCCAGAGAACAAGCACACACAGGTTAACAGAAAGTCTAATTCCTCTTCTCCTCCTCTCTCCATTCCAATATTTGCATTGGCGAATTGTCCAAGCAGCCCCCTCAGTATGGGGGAGGAAATGGTTTTCTTTTTAAGTCCAAAGGGCTGAAACTGCTGGAACATGGTATTTCTTCCTCTCTTGGGTGGAAGTTGGAATATGCTACCCAAACCCTTGTTTGTTTCCAGAATGCACCTTCTGCAGCTGTTGCTCTACAATCCATAGGCTTAGTGTTGCAGCTGAAAACCAGAGCCCAAAGAGATGCTTCCTTCACCAGGATTTAGAGCCTGGGGGAACAGCTTCCTAAAATCCTGGCAGTCAAGAGAGATGCATCCTCCCTGACTTTTCTTTGCATTACTCCTCACCAGAAGCCAGAGGGCCTGCAGAATGTCTACTAGGAATCCACTAGCAGTGCCACTTACCTAGGGGTGACCCAACTCAAGCTCAGTTTCCTCGCCTGTTCTTATCCTGAGACAGATCCCTGCCCAGACTGCTGAGGATGCTCCCTTCATTTTGGATCCATGGAATGAAAAGCTGTGCAACAAACATGACAGTTTCTTAGCCTCACTTCTACTGCCATTTCTTCCCCCCAGAGACCTGTCTATTCCCATGTAAAAGTGCCTAGTTCCTTGCAACAACCTGGAAGCCCAGCATGCCAGGAGGGGAGCCTCACCCCATCTCCCTGCAGTAGGAGCTGAGGCCAGGTTCAGCCACAGCACTCTCTTCTCTGTCATTGTCAGGCTTATGGAAGTTCTTGGCAGAATGATGATGATGATGGTGATGATGATAGTCAACATTCATTGAGTGTTTATTTCTCATGAACATAATCAGCACCCAGTGAATGGCCCTGCAATCAACAAGATAAATATACAGGATTTAAATGTACCTCATGTCTTCATGCATTTCTGGGAGATAATATAATTAAACTTCCATTATACAGACTTTGAAACTGAGTCTGAGCATGATGAAATAACTTGCCCCAAACCATATAGCCAATAAGGGTCAGACCTTTGAGGCTTAAGAGTCTCAAGTGTCATCTTCAGTTTGGGTTAATGAATCTAAAAGTACCCGCAATGTAACTATATAAAGTCATTGCTTAATAAAAACAAATCTCATAGATGATGACTCATTTCAAGACTAGCTTCTGTAAACCTGCTTCTTTCCTGTATTTCTTCTTTCTTTCCTTTCTACTTTCCAATCATCCTACCTTTATTCTGTTAGCCTTTTTTTGGCCTGCCATGTGCCAGGCACCAGTCTGTGTCCTGGGCATAGAAAGAGGAAAAAGATCCAGGCCAGGCCCAGCAAAGCTTAGGTCCAGGAGCCAAGCCTGAAAGCAGGTTCCCATGAGAAGCCCCGAGTCTTGTCATCTAATTAGATGGGGAAGAGGGTACTATTGTCCCATACAGTGCACTCTGCTCTGTCCTTGCATATAGGAAAGGGCTGCCCATGTTCCATACAGGGATGAAATTAAAGGTTCTAGTACTTGAACTTCTACTGTATTTATAGTCAGTGCAGCACTCATTCAACTATATTGATGTGATTTCATGTTTTCCTCCCAAAATCACTTTTTTAAGGGAGAAACCAAAAAAATCTACATTTTGAACACAATAGCTCTATGGTCTTAATTTCTCTGACTTAGTTTCTTTGCTTTATAAAAAAAAAGAAAAGAAAGAAAAGGAGGGATAACAATATCTGCCATGTTTACTTGGCAGGAATGCTATAGGATCAGATGAAGTTGTAATTAAGGCATAAGGGGGACAAAATGTTATGTAAACGTGAGGGCTTTTGTATATTTTTAACGTGAAATTTAAAGCTGAGTGACACCATCTACCTATCTGTCCCTCTCCGTAGGTGCCCACGTACATGGTCCCTGTGTTCCAGCCATAACTATACGGTTCTGCTTTGAAATGCCCTCATCTCATCTGCCTTCCTGCCTTTGCTTACACTTTTTCTTTGGCCTCAAGTGCCCTCTTCCCATCACTGTCTGTTGACTTGCTTCCTTGATCAAATGCCATCTCCTCTAATCTGAAATAGTGACTCTTGCCTCATCTGCACCATTAAATGTTGTGTGTCTCTCACAAAATCACACTTAGGACCATGACTAGAGCTAAGGTCATCTACATCTTAGCCTCTCCGCCTCCATATATATGCCTTGTATATCTTCAATAAAATGTTTTTTGACTCAAATTCTGCTTCTCTTCTCTATGCCCTTTCCTGCCTGTCCCCTGACACCCTGCACCTAATGCACCACCTGGCATTTAGTAGGTACCCAATGTATACATCCTGTGGAGCTTTAGGGGCAGCAAATTCAACATACAAGTCTTCATAAGTCAAGGGGAGTTAGCCTTTACCTTTAAGTTAAATCAAACATCACAAGGAAGTATATGAAATTTGCCTGTACTGGGTGGAGCATCAGGGCCCAGGAAGATAATGTCTCCCAAAATGCAGACTGAGAACAGTGGGGTTACCCAGATGATTTTAGGTGACACAAAGGTGAACTTTTTATCAAATGTAATAGTTACATAATCTCGTATATAGTAAGAAGAGATAAAATTAGCACATCAAACCTATGACTTCGTAAACATTCTTTAATAAATGCTCTTGCATGTGAATAAAAATGAGTTGATTTAAAGAAAAACATTACATAAATAATGGTAGAGGATATGGCCAAAAGATGTGATGATGGTGCTCCAAGGTTAGGAAGCATAAGGACAGACAAATACTTTTAGGAGTGCAGAGCTGGAGATGAGGGTGAAGAGGTACCTGTTTATGGACCAGGTCTATTGGTAGCCCCAGGAATTAACAGAATTATTTACACAACTGTATTACTATGCAAAGCTCTTTGTTGAAAGGGCAGAATGCAAATAGAATGTTTTCTCATCACTATTGTTCCTTCGTTGGAATGAAGAAATATGGTGAATGTCAACTCACACATCAAGCTTTGCAGCATTGGCCACCAAGTTTCATAATGGTCATGGGGTTTTACACCCATTCTCTAGACAGTCAGATACAAAGGACCTTAATATGGGTTTGCTTTTCCATTTTTTTTTTCCTGCAAAGCACAACACTTTACAAAAAGAAAACACATCAAAGGCAATCCTTTTCTTGCATACATTTCAGGGTTCCATTTGAGATCCACACTCATCTTCCTTATCCAATTACATGATCAAAGTAGAAGTGTTTGGCCTACTTTAATGCTTTAAAGACGTCCAGGGAAAAAAGTAAGAACATTTAAAACTACCTTTTTTAAGCCACACATCTTCCTGTAGAAGAAATGGAATCCATTCCACCCTCCCCACACACCTCCCACCCCCCACCCCCACTTAGCTAGTCTCTAGATACAAAAAGTCAAATCAGAAAGTTAACATGTTCTAATCATCCAAACCATAAAGCGTCAGTTACATCTCTGTAAAATCCAGTCTAATCTCAAGTCAGCATGTCTAGTGTACTTTTTGCTTTCTATACTGCTACAAAATCCCTAACAGTACCTATTGCAAAACTCTTGATTTTCCTGATTAGTTTTAAAGACCTCATAATTAAAATAAAAACTGTAAAAAAAAATCCTGAAATACTACTTTGTCTCCCCAAAACTGGTTCTAGCATGTCTGTTCATTTTAATGCTACAATACAGAGTTCATATTTCCTAAAATAGGATGCACCTTGTCCTTCATATTAACACTCTGGGATTTGAGGCCCTGGTTAAAAAAAAAATAGCAAATGCAGCGTCCTCAAAAATATTTAAGTGAGCAGACTGCCTATTGGCAGATTGATTTTTCTCTATGGAAATAAATCTGTCGGCAGCCACCAGAATTGGGGTCTAAAAGATGACCTCGGGCAGCTGCTGCCATTTGTTTCAGTGGGAAAATGAGGGTTTTGTCTCTCCCCAGGGGTTAATACTGTGATGCTCTAAGCATCGTCTGGGCTCTGTTTCTGAAGGGTTACACTGGAGAGGAGGAATGCTTTGTGGTTTATGACAAGATCACAGCAGAATATTTTGTGCACGCTGTGATTTGTATTGCCCATTTGTGCACAGGCCATAAAAGTGCACTTTTTATCAGGAGCATTTGTGAATATATAACAGCACTGAAGACATATGGCCACTAAATAATTCACAGTTATCTATCTCCTCAGCAGATTCCTTATACACCTACCATGTTTTAATGCCTAGTTTGCTCAAAAACAATATTCTTTATGACCCTTCCAATATAAAAATGTTTACTGACTGGCAACAATATATTGATACCATGGGATTGGGCTGTAAGGAAAAGGAAAGCTTTCTACTTTCTCCACCTCTCCCTGTTCTCATTTGTTTCTTCTGAACTCTTCCAGCCATCACCTAACCTCACAGAAGAAGGTGCCCTCCTCAAATGTGGGTGATAACTTCTGACTTCTGGTATTTGGGCTATAAGAGGGAAGTCACTGACTAACCTTCACCCTCTTTTCTTTTCAGTTCTATATCCATTTACAGTCCCAAGGAGAATCCAAATGCGTTTGATGCTGCAGCATTCTTCCAGTCCGTGGGGAATTTCCTGGGGATCTTCGCTGGCTCGTTTGCAATGGGGTCTGCATATGCTGTTGTCACAGCACTGATATCCTTTGTGTGTGTGTGTGTGTGTGTGTGTGTGTGTGCAAAGCTGGGGACTGTTAAGAGCTGTCAGTGTCCCTGGAATGTTTCTGAGGATGGACAATCTCTAGGCTATGAATGGCTAGATAGTCTGGTTCAAGTGTGATACAATTCCACTGGGGCCATCTTAGTTTTGAGTCATCCTTGAGGCACAGTTTGGTACCAGCAGCACAGAGGCCCAGGCTCTTTTCTTGTCCAAGGCCTGTTCTAGCACCGCTGATACTGTCTGACCCTAGGATAGCAACAGTCCTAAAAAACTGCCACCTAGGAAAATAGTTGGACATGATCTGGATTGGCTATATTAGGGCCAAGAGAAAGAGCTGAAAATTCGAGGTCAAGAACAAGACAGGATTGACCAGGGGTGATTAACTGGGTATCTTCTTATTCCTTTTCAAACTTCTGTCAATCAGTAGATCACAGGGCTGGCCAAGGCAAAGATCACTGTATATTTAAAGAAGCATTTCTGGCTATTTTACAGAAGAAGACCTGCAAGGAAGGTGGCAATGACATGTTTGCCATATATGGGCAATTGTGTCATGTCTCGTTCCCTCTTATGCAGTAGTAGGGTAGGAGAATGGGTAGAGTTCCTAGAGGACTTGAGCCAGAGATTGAAGCTGGTCTAGTGAGAGGTTCAGTCAGAGCAGTTGGATGGGACAAAAGTAAGTTAGAGTTGAGGAAGAAAGCCAGAAAGCTGATGTCAAGTATGAGGGCCTAGCAGAAGCCATCCAAAGAGGCAGGACAAAGGATCAAAGACCAAAGATGTTGGGGAAAAGAAAAAGAAGAAGGGTGCAAGAAGGGTCAAGTCTCTAGCAAAGAAAGCAAAATGTTAGGTTCTTTTTTATGGGTACTGACCCAGAGCAGAGTTTCACTGAGCAGCTGCTAAAAGGTTAGGTCCTACTAAGGGTTTCTAACATAAGTCAGAAGGTGAATAAAATACAGACTCTGCCTTCAATTAGTAACAAACTTGGAAGGACAAGGGCTGCAATAAGAGTTGTTTAGAAGGTGAGTTGCAAAGCCACAGCCAACTTATTAGGATGCTAAAAATACAGATGTGGATGGGTCCATTGTTTCTTGAATAGTCCAAAAGACTCTTGGCCAACCTTATAATTCTGAAAAATAATTTTAAAAGCAGTATTTACATGCAGATAACAGTGTAGGCTGAGCCTGAAATATAGGTAGGATATAAACAAGGCTATGTGATAAGTGATTCAGGAGAAAACCAGCATTCATTAAGGTATGGGGATGGGGCTAATGTGGTACATGCAGATGTGCCTGAGAGGACCACAGGGCTCAGGCTGGTGAGCAGTGGAAGATGATACATAAATGGGTTGGAATCACCTTGTGAAGTATCTTGGAGTATTTTTCAGAGAAATCTGAGCTTCATTCTATAGTCTACAGTTAGCTACTGAAGGTTTCTGCTCAGGAGAGTGATGTATTGAAAGTCCCATTTTTAAACAATAAGTAAGAAACAGGTTCACAGGACAAATCAGAAAAAGAAGATTAGAATCATCAAGAAGGAGACTAATGTTTAAAAGAATCTCTAGGACTTAATGATTGGAAGAGGAGAGACTCAAAGGCCACTCCCAAGTTTTATCCCAGAAATCCTAGACAGTATCAATTCCATTGACAAAGAAATAAAGTAACTCAGAAAAAGTAGGGCTGATTCCTAATAAAAATAATGATAATAATCTAATGATTAATATCAGTACTTATGATATGTAAAGCCTTTATTTGTTTTACACACTATACCTCCTTTACCCTGACAATGATGATATCATGCAGATATTTTAATTTTATTGGACACTGAAGCTTAGAAAGGTCAAGGTAATACCCAGTGTCCTGCTGCTTGTAAGAATTGGAGCCAAAATTCAAACCCAAGATTGAAACCAAGAGACAGACCCAGAGACAGACCATGCTCTTTATCACTAATCCCTATTGCCTCTTGATTATTAAGTGGAATTATGATGGAGGCCACATGTTGTTTTGAATAAGCAATGGCAATGGTGATAGCAACATTTAATGAATGTCTAGCATGTGCCAAGGAATTTGTATATATATATCTCTCTTCATTTGAATCAACCCTGCAAGATAGGCTGTTATTATCCTCATTTTACACATGAGGAAACTGAGGCTCAAGGAGGTTAAGTAGCTCCTCTGGGTCACATATCAATAATAGTGGACACAATTATGATTATGATTATTATTATTATTATTGTAACATTTGTTGAGAACTTTGCCATTTGCCAGCCATTGTCATTAGCATTTTGCTAATGGATTTTCTCATATAGCTTTTATAATAACACTGGGAAGGAGATACAGTTATTATCTCAATTTTACAGCTAAAGAAACTGACACATAAAGGTTAAACAACTTGTCTGAAGCTAGGAGATTTCAGGGCCAGGATTTAAACCCATGTCTTTTGGCTCCAGAGGTGGAAGAGCTGAAATTGGAACTCTTCTCCACCTGGCATGAAGGCAATGTATGGACACATAAGTAAATAAGGTGGTAAGGGAAGGGAAAAAATTCCTGGAGTTTGGAAGTCTTCCATGAGATTGGATCAGATCTGGAAAAAATGGTGGAGAGATGGAAGGGACAAGGGCTCAGTCTCAGTGGGAGAATCTGTCACGCAGCATCAATGGCCTTGCCTCTCACAAATTCAGGCTGCAGAGGAGACAGGTGTGCAACCATCCCCTCCATCATCATAACCTTGATACATTGTCCATAATGAGGCAATGCTCCTCAGGGCATAGGTCCCTGGGCTCTATGCAAGCTGGGGTCTTGACCCAGAACTGAATTACTTTCTGGACAAGGTTGAAAGAGAAGAATGTCCTATGTCCATTTGATATACCGTTACTCAAAGTGGCCTAAGCCTTCTCTACGATAACGTAAAAGAGGGAATTCAGAAGAACAAACCCCATTAAAAATAAAGCCTGCCCTCCAAGTCACAAGAAAGATTGCTGGAAAAGGGTCCAGCCCATGTTTTCTTCCAGATAAAGAATTGCTCCTAGGTGTTTACTGAATCTGATTCCAGGAAAGATGTTTTACAGAATGAATTAATTTAAATCACACTAATAGAAAAATTTATATATTCCTTGTTGCATACCAAGCACTCTTAACACATAATGACTTGTTTATATACCTAGGAGGTAGGTTACATGATTATCCCCATTTTCAGACAGGGAAACCAAGATACAAAATGGCTATGGAGCATAGCGAAGAAGCTGATACAGTGAAGTGGAGTTGGCTTCCAGAGGCTACACTCCCAACCATGGTGTTATTTTGCTTATTCTTGGCATTTTGTGCTTTCTAAAACTTTGCAAAAATGTTTTAAATATTCATCTCATTTTACTCTGCACACTTGGTGCAGATAATTCACATAGGATAGAAATGAGGCTCAGAGAGGTTAATATATTGCTCGGAAATCACACAGCCAGCAACTAGCAAAGCCAAGACTCAGACCTTGGTCTTCTGCCCCAGGGGTCATGCTTTTCGCTTCCCTGCCCTACTGCTAAACATCTCTTAATGTGGAATCTCTTTAGATTTTTTTTTCTTGAAGCATAAAAATGCCACATAACATATCATTATTTGTGAGGGCTCTTTTTTTTTTTTTTTTTTTTTGCCTAACTGTAGGCATAGTTGCGATGTGACCCTTTTCCATCGATCACCTATTCCTAATCGTCTTCCTATAATCCCTTCCCTGCATGATTTGGGTCACTATGCCTTTGCTCTATATGTAATTTATAGGCTATTTATTGACCAAGTGTCATCTCAGCCAGAATGAACCATCGCCTGCCAAAGGGCTTCTTGCCTGACCTAGAAATGATATACTTTTTCCCCTAGCCTACTTATACTAAGATGGCATGGGTATCTTCCCTATCACTGAATGTGAATGTTGCTCTGATCCTATTTCCATCCCCAGGAGAGGAGTCTTTAAGGTGATCTGTCCACGGCTTATGGCTCTCCAGGGAGCAGTGACCTCCTTTGGTGCTGACGTATTTGAAGCACCTCACCCTGCTTTACTCTCCATGGCTTTGTTTTGCCTCATCTGCTGCAGGCTCCCGAGAGGCACACCCCAAGGACCAAGGCCAAATTCAGGAGGTTTTGTACCCACAGTTAGGTGATTTTATCTTCTTAGTAAGACACCTTTTTTTAAATTGGAACACAGGTTTGCATTTTTACTGGAGTGTTCAGCCCCCAGTGAGGCATGAAACTCATGCTGGCCTTCAAAGCAGTCCCAGTGAGACCTACAGCCTCCCAGTCAGGTCTGAAAATCAGTGCTCTTCTTCGAAACCGATCACAACGAGATTAGTTTTCCTCAGCCAAGGAGGAGATTTCGCTTTCAAAGCATTTGTTGTTTCCCTTAACGTGTCTTTGTCACTTGACCAAATTTACCAAGCTGTGTGAGTTCCCTATGCTGGAAACAGGCCTGTTTTTCCTCCTGTCTTGGAGCGCCTTCCTGTCTGCTGAGGCTGCCGGCCTGACAGGTCAGTGCTGCATTCTGCACAGCAAATTGGATGCGTGATATGTGTATGTGCTCCCATGCGTATGCCTGCCTGACCCAGCAGGAGGTGCGATGGACTCTCTCCAAGATGGGTTTGTGTCTGAATCAGCCTTTGCTCGGTACCCTGGGGGAGGGAGGAGGATAATAACTCATCCATTTTGTATGCAAAAACTTAACGGAAAGCCTCCAAAATGCTATTTCCTCTTCTCTGTCACTGGTCAGGAGGGTATGTTAAAATCTACAAATGACTGATTTATAGAGGTGATGGACGACTTTACAAATGGAAGTCTACTCACACCGTGAAGGGGTGCACAAGTGCTTTGTAGAAAAGGGTGGTGGTTTTCCATTGGCTGCTAACAGCAAGTAGGCAGTAAAGGCAGCCGGCCCAGGGCATGCACATTTCCACCCACACCAGTGTTGAGAATCTTTGCATACAGAAAACAAAGAGCTAACGTGGCGGTTCTACAATTTAATATCTCTTACCATAGAAAGTTTATATATAGAATCCTCTGAGGCAGAGCAGTTAATAGAGAAAGGGGCAGTCTCTAATGTCCCAAGGGCCATGGATCCTGTGATCTGGATTCGGCAATCAGATTGCCTTTCTGCAACAGCAAGGATTTGCGCTTGGATAGCTGCAACGATTGGGTGCCTTTCCGTGTAGAAGAATCACTGTGGCTCTGAGTAAAATGTCAAAGCTGTTTCTCTCCTTTGGCCTAGTTCCCTGCTTCTCCCAGGTTTCAGCCCTTGATCCCTTGCTGTTCCCTACTGTTGTCATCTTAATTGACATTCAAGTGGTGAGATTCTTCACCCCACTCCAAGTATTCACTGGTAACAAGGTATGCCTCTCTGGCTATTTGCATTTTATTAGGTGGTACTTTAAGTCTAAATAATAATAAAAGTTGACATATACTGAAGGTGTACCATGAGCCAAGTGCTAGCTAACCACCTTTCATGCACATCCTTGCTCATTCACAGGACTCAGAGTTAGGGCCTACACCCAGGCCACTCAGCCAACAGTAAGTGATGGAGCTGAGATTTAAAACTAGGAGATTTGATTCCACAGTTAGGCTCTTGGGCATGAAGCGTTGCTATCTTGAATGAAATTCCATCTGTGGAGTATCAGGCAAGCCCTCATGAGAAGGAAGATATTTGGTGTCTCAGGAGCCTGCCTGGTCCACTTGGTCATAGATTGGTTTTGGCTCTCCTGTGAAATGCATGGCACATCTTTCTTGTAATGATAACCTGTTGTTCTGGACAGCTGACCCAACTTACTGCAGAGTCACAGGGGCCAAGCTATTCCCCACAACTTTGAAGGTGTCTATTGCTGATGCAGATAGCCACCCTGCCAGTTCTTAGGGTAGTGTATACCAAGGCTACATTACCAGAGTCCACCCTACCGGCCCTTATATCCAAATCACCACAACACAATGTTATGTTAGTGCCTTCCACTGTTGGTAGGGCGGTTGCTAAAGAGCTTATTCATTCCAGAGAAAAAGATCAATTGTGTCCCTTAAAATAATGAAGGTAAAAAATTTACATCAGCCATTCAAAATAATTCTGGTTCCCTTTTCTCCAGATTCTATGCCCTTTTCACTACTCAACATGTTGTAAAAGGTAAGCAAGGTTAACAATAAGAATACATATTTGACCTTCTAGAAAGGTAAAGAAATCTCTTAACTCACCTGCTATTTTGAAGTCTACTTTTGAACATTGTAATAAACACACACACCAATACCTAAAAATTGTTTGTTTTTATGTGTGAAAATTGTCTTTCTAGTTTCTGATCCATTTCAGCAAGATCTTGTTCTAGTAACTACTTAAAAGATTATAGTACTTGTACAGATTGCTGGGTTACCTGTCCATTTCTCTTTTGCCACCCTTTTCTACCTGATATCCTTATTGGATGCCACACAGACCACCTCATGGGATGGGTGAATGTATGTGTGGGCCATGGTAGTGGAAAGACCCAAATGTCCACAGCTGCACCCAAGAACACACTCACGTCAGAGAAGTACTCCAGATTAAGCAATGTGCCTAACAAATATTTGATAGAAACCAAACTCTAGGTGTAAGCATTTTCTACTGGCAAATACCAAGCCCAGTTAGTCTAAATTACTAATGTGTCTGTCTGTTTGTTTGTTTGTTTGTTTATTATTTAATCCTTGCCTATTTCCAGATTGGATTTGAGACAGTTCATAACATGAGCCATGCATATCATGGGACCATTTAGTTGAGAGTAAATACTCAAGTGCTTTGGGATAGAGTTTTTCTGCAAAATTAGACAGCTGTTCATTGCTGTGGTTTGGCAATAAATAATAACTCTGGGCTTTCTGGCAGCCAAAGCCAAAAGGGAAAGATGATGAGTTATACAGGAATAATACAACATTATAAAAGGAAATCATACTTATTTGTAAAAATGGGCAAACTTTTTTCCAGTACTAAAATTTTAGGAGAATTTATCACATGTATCCCTGTATAAGGGACCTTTGAACACCATAGGGGACAATATTTTTAATAATAGTTTAGGGAAGATGAACATGTATTCTTTATGTAGTAATTTCTCAGATCAACTTCAAAGAAAATCTGAGAGAGTGGCATCAAATTATAATTATCTAAGGGTGGGCACCGGGTGGCTCAATCAGTTAGGTGTCTGACTTTGGCTCAGGTCATGATCTCATAGTTTGTGAGTTCGAGCCCACTCCAGGCTCTGTGCTGACTGCTTGGAGCCTGAAGCCTGCTTCAGATTCTGTGTCTCCTCTCTCTACCTCTCCCCTGCTCATGCTTTATCTCTCTCTCTCTCTCAAAAATAAATAAACATTAAAATAATAATAATAAAAACAATTATCTAATGTTACTTCTGGTAATGATACAATCCTTTTAGTTGTAATCCACAAGTAAACTAAGATATTGCAAAGCTAAAATCTAGAAAACTTTCTAAAAAGTGTATAACAAATGAATATGTGACAACAAATATAAGGAACTAAGTGGAATAAGCTATTATAAACAGTTGATGAGTAACCATGGAGGTAACCAGCAATCCTGGGGCCTTGTCTGCATTCATGAACAACCCATCATGTAGGTCCTAGGGATGGTGCTTACATGCACTGGTTTCTCAGCAGAATTCCCCCAACCCTGACATTTCAAAGTGGTGCTCCAGGATGCCCACCAAGTGAGCAGGGTGCTAGGCTTGTCATCCCTACACTATCCCTTTTATTGGTTCCATCAATTGGGTTTTCACATAAGATTTCATTTGAAAAAAGGATTTCTGTTACTTTAAACAAAGTATGTCTGTTTTTCTACCAAATTAATACATAAACATTATAGAAAATTTAGAAAGTATAGATTCACAGAAGGACATGATATTTGAATTACCTGTTTTCTTACTCAATAACTATTGTTAATATACATCTAATTATATGCATCTAATTATATGCATATACATACATTTAATTAAATATATACATTCATGCATAATATAATTATACTTTTTAAGTTTGAAGTAACTTGCTTTTTACACTCAAGAATTTATAGTGACTATTTTTCATGACATTCTTCTCTATTATTTAATGGATGCTTAATAGGATATTCTATCAACTTGCCATAATTATTCTCCCCTCCTTTTGATTGTTTATACTTTTCAGTATTATACATATGATTGCCATGATCATCCTTATAGACTGATGTATTCATTTCTATTACTGGGTTAAAAGGAAGGCCAAAATCTTAATGTCTTGGAAAAATTAATCCAAATTATCTTCCAGAAAATTTGTAACCCTTTATACTTCCACAAACAATGAAAGAGACCTCATTTACTTACATCTTTACCATACGAAATCTTACCCATCCTTGCTAATTTGATAATCAGCCTCCATTTCATTGTGATTTACATTTATTATGTTTGTACCAAAGAAAGCATTTTAGTTTCATGTCATGGGCAATTTATATTTCTCCTTTGGTGAACTACCTATTTCTTCCCTTAGTCCTTTTTCCTACTGAGATGCTTATGGTTGTCACATTGAATTTTAGAAGCTTTTTATTTCTTTAAAAAATTAACCTTTTGACTGTCACATAAGCTATAAATATTCTCCAACTTGTGGTTTTATCTTTTAAATATGTTATATTTTGTTTGCTTAGTAAAGGAAAAAGATAGTATGGACATTTTTAAGTTTATGTGGTTAATTTTATCTCCTCCTTAAAAAGCCTAAGATTTTATTAATTTTTGCATGGAAAGCCCAAGTGTTTACAAATGATAATATGTACTTTCTTTTAATAATTTTATTTTTGCATTGGAATCCAACTGAAATTTGTTTTGATATGTAGTACAGGATATAGTAGGGACTTGATCATCTTCCTAGAAGGTTATCCATTCATCCTAACACCCTTCAAGTGTAACCTATGTATTTATGATATAATGTCCATGTCTGTAGGTACATAAATGTGTATGCAGGTTCTGGGCTTTCTATTGTACCACTGAGATTTTGGTCTTCACTGTTTTGATAATTTCAGGAGTGCCTGGGTGACTCAGTCAGGTAAGTGTCCAACTCTAGATCTTGGCTCAGGTTATTATCTCACAGTTCATGAGTTCAAGCCCTGAATTGGGCTCTGTGCTGATGGCCTGAAGCCTGCTTGGGATTTTGTGTCTCCTTCTCTCTGCCCCTCCCCCAGTGGTGCAAGCTCTCTCTCTCTCTCTCTCTCTCTCTCTCTCTCTCTCGCACATGCACACTCTCTCAAAATAAACGTAAAAACAGAAACTTAAAAAATTTACCCTTTACAGCTTCATTGTTCATTTTACTATCTAGTAGCTCCATCCCTCACCCCCTTTCCTCATTTCTGAGAGCTTCTTTGCTATACTCACATCTTTATTATTCCAGATGGACTTGAAAGTAACTGTTAAGTTTCAAGCAGAAAATAACTTTGGGATTATGATTGTGGTTGCATTAAATTTTTAGATTAATTTGAGAACTGGTGTTTTTACAATGCTGA